TTGACCCAAAAGGCTTTTCTTGAACCGCACATTCACTACATCAATTTGGGCGTTCACAAACGGCATTAGTCGACTATAATAATAAACCTCATAATATATTTCTATTAATTAATAAACTCTTCTGATACAACTGATCCTCCAAAATACAACTCGGGAATCCATACTGCGTGGACCCCTAGAAAATCCAAACTAAACAAATAACAGCAATAATTGTCTAAATTAGGAAACTGAATCATAATGGAACTCCTATTTAGCATCGGAAAAATGAAGTGGATTGATCCCCGCTCAGCACGAACAACCTCTACACCTAACCAACACCTGAAAAATAATGGTAGGTTAGACCCACAAACAAGTTCTACTCTACTACAGTCCAAACAGAGATCCGATACACATATACATCCTAGTCAATCCAACATTAACTAGTCCGTATATATATATACACACACACTAAAAGAACCTCACTAGACTATAGGGTTGTCTCAACCTGAATAGTAGACAACATGCAAAACACACATATAGTGGGCATGAGTACCTAGACCTACCAGGGTACACAACTACACTATATCTAGCTACACATCCCTGGCGATATACGCACCCTAACCACTGATCCTGAGACTCAAGCTCATATCATGACACCATACTTATATATATATATAATCTAGTAACCATTCTATTCAGTATAAATTAATCTTCCATAAGTCATTCAACTTGTTCAGCTGACCTGACTTGAATATAAGTAGGACTTAACATTTTAGTTAATCCATTCCCTTATATAATAAATTAATCCTCTATAAGTCATTCAACTTGTTCAGCTGACCTGACTTGAATATAAGTAGGACTTAACATTTTAGTTAATCCATTCCCTTATATAATAAATTAATCCTCCATAAGTCATTCAACTTGTTCAACTGACCTGACTTGAATATAAGTAGGACTTAACATTTTAGTTAATCCATTCCCTTATATAAAATAGGTAGGACTTAACTGATAAGTTAATCCGTCCCTAGAATGCCACTGTCCCATACCGGTGCATTAAACCACACAATCCAACAATTAATGTAACGATTAAGGAAATACATCGAACAATCCAGAAATAACAATGATAATATGATATCAAGTTATCACAACCTATATATATGTCCTACATAAACTGAATCTTACACATATGATGATATTTTATTATACCGTCAAATAAGCATTCTCCATATCCAATTTATACTACACATTTAATCTCAATTGCTAAAATATATTAAAAGATTAAATTCATTCGTTTGTTTAAAACATTCAAATAGCAAGCATCACTATGATTGAGTCCATTTAAATTTATTTAAACCCAAACTTAGTTCCTATTTAATGTTCAGGAATCCTAGGCATGTTTCTACGTTCCATCATTCCACAGATATGAAAAATACATAATTTAAACATGTAAAAATTCACACCGAAAATCAAATCAAAATCATGCATTTATCAATTCATAACACAAGAACAGATATGAACCAAATTCATAAAACCTATGTTCTAATCCAATTAAACATGCATAATTATTTAATTTTATGTGTTTAATAAATCCTGAAATTTCCTAGGCATGTACAGAAACACGAATCAAAAGGAAAGAGATAGAAGAAGAACTTGCCTTAAACTTTTAGATCGAAAGTTAAACTTCTTCTTCCTTGATCTTCTCTCTACAGGGTTTTTTTTTTTTTCCTCCTTCTTTCATTTTCCTCCTTCCCTCTCTAACTCTCTCTCTCTCTAAAATATATCACGTGAATATTTCTAGTCCCCCTTTTACAACCTATAACTATATATTTATAGGCTAAATAAAATAACCATGACCCTTTTTCCAATCCAAGTCAACTTAAAAAAAATAAATATTAAAATATTAAAAAAGTAAGTAAAATATGTTATGTATATAATTTATGTATATCTTTATTAAATAAATAAATTATACACATCTCATTATTTATTAATGGATTATTCAATAATACTTAAGTTACCATAATATTATAAAGTAACTTAAAACATAACACGTACCAAATCTACGTATATTTTTATTATTTAAATATAAAACATATACATCAGATTAAATATTACTACCCAAGTTACCATAAAAGTAATTAATAAATTACTTTTCCTTTTATATATATTAAAAAGGTAAGTAAAATATGTTACGTATATAATTTATGTATATATTTATTAAATAAATAAATTATACACATTCCATTATTTATTAATGGATTATCCAATAATACTTAAGTTACCATAATATTATAAAGTAACTTAAAACATAACACGTATCAAATATACGTATATTTTTATTATTTAAATATAAAACATATACATCAGATTAAATATTACTACCCAAGTTACCATAAAAGTAATTAATAAATTACTTTCCCTTTTATGTATATTAAAAAGGTAAGTAAAATATGTTACGTATATAATTTATGTATATGTTTATTAAATAAATAAATTATACACATTTCATTATTTATTAATGAATTATCCAATAATATTTAAGTTACCATAATATTATAAAGTAACTTAAAATATAACACGTATCAAATCTATGTATATTTTTATTATTTAAATATAAAACATATATATTAGATTAAATATTATTACCCAAATTACCATAAAAGTAATTAATAAATTACTTTTCTTTTTATATATGTATATAATATATATCTATATACATACATACACAACTATCCATGGGTAATAATCCATACACATCCAACCTCTTATCCAAGTAGTCTACGGGACCCAATTGGTTGGCCCATTACTACTAACCATAACCATAAAAGAAAAATAAAATAAAATAATAAAAGAAAAGAAAACATTTAATTTACAATTAATCAAAACACCATTTAAGCACATAATCTAATTAAACAATTAACACATAGACAAATACAAATAATACATAGACGCATAATCAAATAATCAAGTAATACCTAATTCAATTAAACACATAAACAATTAGTCAAATAATTAATTAAATAATTAAAAATACAATTAAAATAAATAAATAAATACCGAGACTATCCTTTTAAGGATATTACATACACTTTTTAGGCTCCTATTCCTAGATGTACCCTTAAAGTTGATCTTCATAAGGCTTATGATACTATGTGTTGGGACTTCTTGATTGATTGTCTCAAAGTTCTTGACTTCCCACCTATGTTTATCTAATGGATCACTACTTGTATTACAACTCCTGCCTTCTCTATAACTATTAATGGTGAGCTGGTGGGGTTCTTTAAAGGCACCCAAGGTATTAGACAAGGGGACCCTATATCTCCCCTCTTTTTTGTTCTAGTTATGGATGTGCTATCCTTTACTATTGTTAAGTTCATTAATGATTGCCTTCAGTTTTCTTACCATTAGAGGTGTAGAGCAAACCAAGTGTCACATCTTTGTTTTGCTGATGATGTGATCATATTCTGTTATGGTGACCCCCTCTCGTTGTCTGTGTTTACTAAGAGCTTGAATATGTTCTCTCAGCTATTTGGTTTGAAGCCTAATCTAGCTAAAAGTAGCATTTTTACTGCTGGGGTGCATGAGAATATACAAAGGACCATGATCAATGCTTCTAGGTTTGTTATTGAGAGGTCTTGCTAGGCAATTCATCAAACACCAGGTGGGGGATGGTTCTAATACGTTTCTTTGGTTTGATTATTGGCTTCCTTCTGGCCCCCTCAGCCTTAGGTTTGATAATAAGGTTATTGCTAACTCAGTGTGGGACTCTACATCTAAGGTCAAAGTTCTTATCAGGCATAGCCAATGGAGAGTTCCTCCTCTTTTTAGGAATATTGTCAGCATGAATGAGGAATATCCAGTTATCAATTCCAATTGTAGAGATAAGGTGTGCTGGACTTTGTCTCCTACAGGTAAGTTCAATTTGAAACAAGCCTATAATGCACTCCTTCCTCCTTGCCCTCTTTCTTCTTGGAACAACATTATATGGTTTTCCAAACACATTCCGAGGCACGCCTTTATTACTTGGCTTGCTCTTCACAATAGACTCTATACCAAAGACAAATTTTTCATAGGTCACAGAGGAGACTCTATCCTTTGTCCATTGTGTATGAGAGATGATAAAACCTACAAGCATTTGTTTTTTAAATGTAACTTCTGTTCATACATTTGGGATCATATTTAGCATACATGTCGTTTCTACTGTGGTGAGCGTAGCCACTTCTTCATTGCCAAATGCATTGGTAATATGTGGAATGATAAGTGCAATTCTATGGATGCCATTACAGCTAGGCTTTGTTTTGTTGCTTCTATCTATTTCATATGGAAGGAGAGGAATAAGCGTACCTGTGCCAGTAGATTCTCTTCCCCTCGTGCGGTTTGGAAGCTCATTGAAGACTGTATTCGTAACAGGCTTCTTTCTATGAGATTCAAGGACTCTAGGAGCTCCCGTAGTGTGGCTGCTGATTAGAGACTTCCTAGTACTGTCATTGACAACAACACTAGTATTGACTGAGCCTTGCTCTCTATAATGCTATGTGTGCTTGCTCCCTCTGTATCTCTTGTATAGAGGTTGTGTGGTGCCTTCGGGCTTCTTGTTTGGGCCTTGTGCCTTGTGTTGCTTTCTTTTTTTGGGCTTCCTGTTTTGGGTTGCCTTGTGTTGTTTGGTTCTTTCTTTTTGAATAAATTGACTTACCCAAAAAAAAAAAACATGTGCCTGTTTATGATTTGCTTCTGCTATGCAATTTGCTACCAAATCTTAACAAGTTCGGGCGCTTGCTTTTAGACCTAAAAGCTTAAGATGTTTGGTAATGTTGCATATCCACGGATATATACTCCATTCACTTTCTATCCAAATCCAACGTGGAACAAAAACCTTTATCAATATGTCATTTGATAGTTTGACAACCTAGTCATTTACAAATTTACAACCGTTTCAAATTGTTATTATCGAAACTTTAAGAACTCGCCTCATGATTTTTCACTCACCATTTGATGTTTACAAATTTTTGGTCAATTGAGGTCAATTCAGGAAGAAATAGCACAGGCACAAGGTGGAAAATCAACCTTGATCATGCAGCTATCTTTTTTATTTGGCTTCGTCTTGGCTAACAATTCCATTTAAAAAATCACGATTATTCGAACCAATTAGCATCTTATTTTACATATATAAAAAAAGAAAATTAGGACATATTCCAAAGACTATGAAGTTCTGAAATAATTTTGAAAGTAAGAGAAGTGCCAATAATATACTTCCATATTTATGAAAAAAAGTACTAATGATATAATTTTCATATGAGCCCAATTGACTGATCGTATCAGTCTAGTACTTGTTAAGCGGACTTCACTTCGGCATTGAACATCATGTCAAAGGCCTTCTCAATGCATGACTTGAACCTTTGCGGATCTATGAGGCCCTTCTTTGTTCCAACTGCAACCCTTAGCTTTCCAGTATAACTCACCATTGTTATTGTAAGACTCTGCAACTCCAACATCATCTTAATTAATACTTGATCCTTTTCCCTCAAGAAAAAATGAATAGTAAATACTCCTGATGTGTATGAGAAGTACAGATACTTGTATAAGAATGACACCCACATTATATTTGTATTGTATATATACCGATATTCTATATATTTGTATAAGAAAATAAAATATTTTATTTCATATATATATATAACGAAAACTTCTCATAAATTCCGAGATATATATCTTGTATAAACATTAAAATATAACATTTTTATTTTAATATCATAATATAACTCAGTGTAAGAAAAATAACCTGAGATGAGTCATGTCTAATTTTTTTCCCCCACTATGACACGTATTAACATAACTCTTAGTTTTAACTCAAAGGGGTTGGCACGAGTAGTAAGTAACTTAGACATGGTGCCTCATGAAGTATCAGGTAAATAAGACTGAGCCGACCCCCTTGAGTGCAAACAATTTTTTGGAATCACACTCGTAAGTGAAAGTCCGAACTTTACGCAATTCATGTAAAAGTTAGTCGAGGCAAAGCCTAATACCCCGGTTATTAATAAACAAAATCATAACTCTTAGCTTTTTAATATATCAAATTTTAACATTATAATATGTTAGAAATTTGTTATGAAGAAACTTGTCTGTTTTTATTCAGAAACAGAATATCATGGAAACTCCAGTGATATTTAATACTAAAATTCATTATCAGATTATATGTCCCAAATCCGTTGAATGAAGTGACACACACACACACACACACACACACACACACACATATATATATATATATATATATATATATATATATATATATATTACAAGGCAAGAATGGTTAGAAATTATATTAGTAGATGCACAGAGCCAAAATCTGGCACTCCAAAATCCACCCACTAACCCACTGGCCATCGAGACATCTACGAAGGAATAGATTGAATAAGTATAATTTATACTTCTTGTGTCCCAAAATTCTTGGTCATCTTTCCATTTTTGGATATCCCAAAATTGTTGTCGTTGAATGTAAAAAAGTAGTTTACTTTCCAAAATATCCTCAACTTTTTGAAAACTTACCCCAACTAACATTACTTTAAAAGGGTATTTTAGTAATTTTAAAAAGGAGTAAAGCATTTAATGGTTGTCCCTTTAAAAAGTTGACTACCAAAAATGTCCAAAAATTTGAAACGGAAGGAGTACATATTAGACCAGCCATGTCTAGTTATCAAGGGAATGGCCGCGTCGAGTGACCAACAGACACCTCTTCTTATAAATACTCCCTTTGGTTGCCATAATTTAATCATTCATTTGGAGATAAAGAGAATTCAAGTGTGAATTCAGAACCTCTCTCTCTCTCTCTCTCTCATTAAAACATATGAACCCAAATAGGTTCAAGCCATGTGGTCAAATGATCTTTAGCTAAATGGCTAAAACCAAATCTAATCTTCATATTATAAATAAAATTACATTATTTGTTCAAGTCATATAGCCGAGTGATTCAAACCACATGGACCCAAATCCAATGGTTCGAGCCATATAGTAAAATGGTTTGAACTACATGGTTTGGATCAAACTCAATTTCATTATTGAGTATTATAGGTACATTTGTGAGTCAAATCAAAGAGAATACGTATTACACAAAGTGGATTCGCTAAATCCACTAGTTTGGAATACTGCTACTAGTAAATTGAGAGACCGTTATATCTTAGGAGACAATCACTATGCAGACTGTTCAACACCATGCGGTCGGGACGTATTTTGTCTCAATGACAATAGTATCAAATACTAACATTGGTCCATGTTCCTTATTTTATTTGATTGCTTTATTATGCATGCTTATTTAAGTATTCTAAGAGGAATATTTAATTAATAGTTGGACTAGCATATTAATGATTTACTTATAGTCTCATAAACATATTAGTATAAGTTGTTTTTATCTTAAATATCACGTAAAGCATATATTTTACAACATAATCTAGAAACACTTAATATTAATTTGATAAATTAACATAAAGTTTTATTTTTCATATTTTTTTAAGAGAATGTAGTCATGATCATTGTATTTAGATATAACATGACAAATAATTATTTTTTAAAATTCACATTTGGATACACATATATATTAATTCTCATACAATGAATGTGTATACAACATTTATATATGAATGTACTTGTATACAACATTGTTATTAATGTCAAGTTTTTTTTTTGTAGTGGTATTTTATTTTTAAAGACATCACTGTCTTTGCTTTCATAGCCTAGAATATCTATATCCAAATTTATATATATACTACACTAGTGTTAAAAGTATGTATATTTTAATTTTTTATACACATTATTTATTTATTGATTTTTTTTTTTACCAATAACATTTAAAATTACTACTTTTGACTCTTTGACATCTAGAAACTCATACTAAAATGATATATAAATGCATTAGTTTTTTAAGTGATCTTATGTTGTTGGGATTATGTGTCCTAAAAGTCAATTATTTATTTTTATATTTGATTTTTTGTTAATAAATATAATATTTATGTATTGGGCTTTCATATATTTGCATGAGATGCATTATTGTCATCAAATTGCAGTATAGGTAGTTTAAGTGTGTAAATGAATTTTTTTTAAAACCACAGTATAGTAAATGCATTATTATTGTAATTTTTTAATTATAGAGTGTAATTACAATAATATTGGAGTATTTATTATAATTAATTAGATATTATAGAGTTGTGAGATAACTCATAACTCTATCCCTAGCCAATTAGATATGGGATAAGAATTCCTTTGGATCCTCGTCTCTAGCCACATCTATCATATTGTTACAAGTGAGACTTGTTTCATATTGGATTTGGATGAAAGTTGAAGTGTGTATAAATGGGTTGGTATATAATACTACTCAATATCTTAAGCTTTTGGGTAAATGGACAAGCATCCACCTGTTACAATTGGTATTAGAGTCAAATTCAATCCTTGATGTGGTGTCACACCAAGCACCCGATCTCGAGGGCGTCTGGGTCTAGACCCTAGGTAGGCAGGGTGGCCTGACCGTAACGAAAGCGTTGCACAGGTTCGGATGGGGGAGAATTTACAAGTAGGACTTATCCCAAATCGAATTTGAATAAAAATTGAAGTGTATATAAATGGATAAATAGGCAATTGGCCACCCGTTACACATATATTATACAAGAATAACAAAAGTAAAAGAGAAAGGGTTCCACAAATCTGCCTTTAGGGTCATGGAAATGATGAGAAAGTCCTTCAAAAGGTACAAAATAATTTTCAAGGTTCAAAATTTTTTTAAATAGCTTCGGCTTTTCTTCACTTATCACCTTTATTACGTCACAGACTCGAACAAATTAGAGATTTCAAAAACTACAATCAAAATTTTTTTTCTCAGAAAAACTTTTTGAATTTTGGTTACTTATGCTTTATTTTGAAGGCTACCTAGTAATTGTTTTTACAAACTTTTGCCGGCATACTATTAGATATTGTCGAAAGTTAAGGCCAAGGGTGATTTGGGTATGTTCTCCCCCATTTTCAAAGTCTTCTTCTATGTATGAATATATCTTTGTGAAATTTAAATAGATAAATAGAAACAATAATATTTCTAATTAAATGCATTGCATGTGCTTCTTTACGAGTAATTAAAAAGACATAAGAAAGATATAGTATATATACCAGTGGAACTCCGACCACCATAAAATAGAAGCTTCTCACAGGATGATTAGACAAAGCCATTTGCTCCACCGGGCCGATCATATTTGTCAGGGCCATGCTTGAGTTCTTTATTGTGCCATACATGTACCGAGCAGTCCTCTGCAGAATCAAAACTTACAGCCTATTTAGCAATGTGATTGTTTTGTAACACAAAAGATGAAATCACTTCTCAAGCTGCAGTAACCGTAGGAAAGTTCAAATATGTTTATTTATTTTTTTGCTTTTATCAACTTGAAATCTTAATACTCTATGTTACATGGGCCCTTCAAAAATAGTGAAGTACGGGCGTCGGACACATATTGCTCAAACATATGTATGAGATATGTGTCTGATATCATATCCAATCATTCAATTATATTCTATTATTACTTTAAAATGAGTTAAAAGCCCGTGTTGAACACTATATTAGATAAAAACATTACTTTGTTGTAGAAAATAAAATAAACTCACTAAATAAAATGAATATTTAATAGTGTCCAGCATTCTTCGGTTTAGAGATTTTACAAGTCCATGGACAAAGCAAGTTCAGGCTATTTTTTTTTAAATATACAAACAAAAATGAAAGTTTGTAAAGTTAAGGGGGGGAAATTAAAATTTTAAAGAAATGTAAATGCAAAAATAAAAAAAATTTAAAGTTGAAGTGGGGGGCAAAATTTAAGTTTTTAAAAATTATACATATAAAACTGCAATTTTTAAAAAGTTGAGGGTTCCCCCCTCCCCCCCCCCCCCCCCCCCTAACCCTACAAATTTTCAATTTTGCATGTATAATTCTATAAAATTTTAAAATTGCCCGGCCTCAAAAAAATTTATTGCATGTACCATGCCCCTGATATTAATTTCTGGCTCCCAGGTATGGATACATACTTGTCGGATCGGACACACATACCCAAGTTCGCGTAACATAGATTCAGGTAATATGATTTCTACCCCCCCCCCCCCCCCCCCAAACAAATTTTCAATTTTGCATGTATAATTCTATAAAATTTTAAAATTGCCCGGCCTCAAAAAAATTTATTGCATGTACCATGCCCCCTGAACTTAATTTCTGGCTCCCAGGTATGGATACATACTTGTCGGATCAGACACATATACCCAAGTCCGCGTAACATAGATTCAGGTTATATGATTTCTACGTTTGCTTTTAACTTTATAAAATAAAAATAAAACTTGAAATTCTTAACAACAGTAGTTAGAGAAGTAATATATGCTGCACCTCAGGGCCTATAAGTTTCCTCAGTGTCTCAAGCAACCTGCCGGTGAGATAAACAGCCCCGGAGTTTCTCTTTTTCTTGATCATTTGGTGTGCTTTGTAGATAAAACAGATGGGATCTGAAGAGTCAGTTTCATTTAACTCGGGAATTGGTACGTGCAGGAACGCAAATTGGTTCCCCCAATATTTTGTGACAGTTTGGGGCTTCATCACCATTTCATCAACAGACTTGTAACCAGCTATGTTCCGAGTGTTGAGCAGCACCAATGCTGTAGAATGCGCATTCCTTAACTCATCACATGATGCTTGTTGCATGTACAATTGAGTTCCATAGAAGATAGTTCCCGTGATTACATCATTTATGCTCTGGTGAAAGAGAAATTAAGAAGATTAACATAAGAAGGAAAAAAAAAAAAAAAAAAAAAAGCAAAGAAATTAAGCATGCAAGATCGATCTCAAAAGAGAAAGCATATATGGAGTTGAATTTCAGTTGCATACAGGGGTTAATTAATTATTTTTACATTGTGTGGCTGATGTAGGACATCATAAATGTGAATGAAAAAAAAAAAAAAAAAAAAAGCAAGTTGTTGGTTTGGATGGCAGAGAAAAAGGAAGTGGGGTGCAAAAGTCTGAAGAATTGAGCTCTACAACTGTCTTCGGAAATTTAAGTGAAGAAAAAATGCCACATACAATTATTGTGTTGTCTGTTATTCCGTATAATTCACTAAAAAAGAAAGATTGTAGGAAAATTAATCCAACCCATTTTGAAATAAAAATTTGAGTAATTTAACTTTTTGAGTTGTTAGGGTTTTTGCTTAGTTGATACAATCTCCGTGTGAGATTGTGTTTATCTATCCTTTCAACTTTGCTACGTCAGTGGTACTAGCACTACTATGCTGACAGGTTGTTGGTAAAGATCTCGTCTCGTTTAGATATGAAAAGAAAAAATGTTATAAATGTAAAAATTTCATCTTAAAAATAGTATGAGAGCATTGTGTGTGTGTATATATATATATATATATATATATATTTGATGTGTCATAATACATTTACACAAAAAATTTGAATTATTTATTTTTAGCTCCGACAGTTGTTTTATACCGTAAAAATATATTTTCAATAACAATCAACTAGTGTCATGCCTGAACCCCACATAATTTTTACAAACCTACTTAATATATGGTTGATTCGTTAATGGAATGAGAAAGAGGGAATAAATATGTTGATGTGCTGTGTAAAAAAGGTTGTGTAAAGTACATAATAATTGGAGATAAAATAAAATAAAATAAAATTACTTACACATTATACGTGACAATGTATATTTTACACAAAAGAATATTTTAACATATTGCTGGAAATGCTCTGAGCTATTTCGAAGTAAAACTCAAAAACAAAATAATTGTCCAAAATAACAATATCACAATATATGGTGAAGTGAAACTCTTGTATTATATACCCTTGGTTATTTATGTCCTATTATTTTTGTTAGGGAATAAATTGAATGAAACTATATACACAGCGGATAGTAGTCTTACCACTCGAAGATCGGTCTTAATTTGTTTGATGCGATCAAGAGAGAAGGTCATGGTAGTTATAGTGATCGGCCGGAATTCCATTCCGGCATCCCCGGATCTTATTGGTGTCCGGTCATCTTCCACCACGGTACTCTTTAGAAGGCTCCATCCAAAATCCGAAACAGTGTTGACAAGGCCGGAGAAAAACCGAGGCACACTAGTGAAAATGCTCCCGCTCTCACCACCCAAATTTGTTGCGTTTGTTTGAAGCTTAGGAAATGTTAACGGAAGAGAAGGATTATCAGCTCTTTGTAGACAAGATAGAAGAGCCCCCATTAATGAATAACCATCACCCAATGAATGGTGGAGCTTGAAAATCAAAGTCCCAGCTGCATTGGTTGTAGGGTACTTGATGATATGGATTTCCCAAAGTGGTCTACTTTGTGGAAATTCATCCATGGCTATCTTTGATATATAGTCATTGAGATATTCATCATAGAATTCTACTGACTTTTCAGCAGGGAAAGTAGGGAACTTAACGTGGTCCATGGGCTTCACTTCAACTCTCTTCCAATGTTTCACTCCATTTTCATCTCTAACCTGCTCATAAAGAATTAAATGCTTATTTAATTAAGATTTAAACATACCAAAGTAATTTGTATTGCACATCCAAACTCTCACCCTTAACGTGCATGCACGCACAGAGACGAAGTCAAAAATTTAGTTCGGGGGTACAATGAATGTTTCAAAGTAAATTTTTTTACGAAAAAATAGAACTGTAATAATTAAGATTTAAAAATTATGCCATAATTTTTTTACCCAAAAACCTACAATAAAGAAAAATTAAAAAATATAGAGTATAAACATTATCAAAATTGCAGCAATAAAATTGAATAATAAGAGAGAAATAAAAAAAGTTAAACATCTTACATGGCGCAAGAAGAAGAAATTTCGAAAAGATATAACGAAAACAAGAGAAGAAGAAGATAATAAAAAGAAAAAGCAAACGAGAGAACTTGGAAAGAGAAAAAAAAAATAGGAATTAATTGAGGGGAATATATATAATTTTGAAGGATATAAAGGATTAGAAGAAGGAGAAGAGGAGGAAAAGAAAGAAAAACAAAAATTTAATAGAGAGATTTTTTCTAAAAACCAAATTCCAGCGGGTATTTCTTAATATTTTATAAATACATACAAAAGAATTTAAAACTTTAGTATGTGGCCGATCTCGGGAGCACATGCAAAAGCTTCAGTAACGGTCGGATAGTGAAAAGTCATCGGAAACCCCGTAGCTACTTGCACTAAAAAATAAGTAAGTGTAATTCCTCCTCCCACAGCCTTAATTGGCACTCTCCTTGTGTATGCACTTTTCAATGTACTTTTTCTTTTTCATTCTTCTTAAATTCCAAAGCCAACAAGAGCAGGACATTAGCCCAATAGGATTAACATTGACAAATAAGAAAAGAAAGAAAAAAATATATATATATAGATATATACATATATGTCACTTCTCAATGACTTTTAAAGTAACCTATATAACTCTACAAGTATGCCTAATTTGGGAAGCAGCAGTACTGTTAGTGGATATATACACGAAAATAGTCGAAACAGGGGGATATATAGTGAGGTACTGAGTGTCATTTCTCAGAGGTTATCTAACTGAACTCTGTTTATATATAGAGAGAGAGAGAGAGTGTGTGTATACCATGATCGAGGAAAACCGTGGGTTGATGGGGAGAAATACATCCTTGAGCAATGCCATGGTGGGTGAGTCATCGATGGGGACTTCTAATTCCAAAACTCCGATAATAGAAATCGACAGCACGGGGCTGTTGAGGTATTGGCCTGTGGGACTGACTGGCTCTGATAACTCTTCTTGCTTAAACTCCATTATTGTTAGTGGTCTTCAGCTTGGTTTACCAGTAAATATAAAATGTTTCTCTTAAATGTAGACGACACTATGTTAAAGATTGGCCATAGAGGGTAGGCATTGTTATATTTATTGTAGAATTTAAAAACGACCTCTCATAAAGGACTAATCAATACCGAGAACGGTAACATATTAATATTTCTTCTCTCTCTCAAAGTAAGAGATGTAAGAGTCCAAATCTACTAATACGTGTGTGTGTGTGTGTGTGGAGTTTCTTGACGAGGAAAAAAAAACAACAAACAAAGCCTGAGAGTACCATGTTCAAGTTTTTTATAATTCAGGAGACTATATGTAATGGAAAATGTTATACTTCACGAATTTATATTTGTGATTTTATATCGAATCAAGTTGCTGTTTATTTGGCTGCTTTATGTATTTTAAAACAATTTTTTTAATATAAGAAATATCTTAATATAGGAAAGAAAGAAAAAATAACAAAACTTATCATTATAAAATCCAAACCCTAAAATAATTCAATAATTTGAATTCAATTCTACTTATATATGGAGTATCTTTGTTTAGGAGACCTTTTTTTATTAAATCTTCAAATAATTAAACTAAAAGTTATGATTTTTTACTATGAATGAGTGATTTCTTTATCGTAAATAAGAACCTTAATTTACATAATTCACTTAAAACTTTTTAGAATTATATTTTGTTTTAGTATTTTCTTATTACCGTTAAATTTTAAAGATACTCAACAGAGATATACAAAAGTTTTTTTCTGGTAAATAAAGATATGCAAAAGTTGAGAATGTGAAAAAAATAATATATATATATATAATGAAAAATATTAGAAGAGAATAGCAAATTATAGATAGAGAAAGATGCCAGTGTAATTTTTAGTTCTTACATTTTCCTTCATTGTCAATTTGTTTGGTTTGTTAAAATAGCAAACACAAAGCTAAAAGAGAATAAAGTGTAATATGTATTTAAAAAGTAAGAGAAATTCATGTCTTTTTACTTATCGATGTAATATCCCTAATTTTTAGAATATTTAATTTAATTATTTTAATGGTATTTGATTGGATATGTGGCTAGTTATTTAATTGCCTATTATTTTATTTATTTAATTGTTTATTTGTTATTAATTTTTAATTATTAAATTTCCATTTAAATGTTAATTGTTTGTGTGTGAATGTATTTTAATTATTTAATGGGCAAATTACATAAACTATCCACAAAGTTTCTATATTATGCATGTAAATAGAAGTTATAACAATATTACATACAGGTGCATACCGTTTGACCACAAAAAATTAATATGAATTTACACTTCTAATATTAAAATTAAAATATTTATTTTTAATAAAAAAATAATACATCATCATCATCCCCATATTGACCGGCAGTGCACATGACGGATCCGGCTTTGGCAGAGCATCATCATCATCCCCAATTCACCCCTCCTCAACTCCACCCATCAGTCATGCTCATCCATCACCCAAATCCCACCTCACCAACGTGTAACCCTAACTCTCTTCTCTAACGCTGCAACGCCCCTCTGCTCATCCATCACCCAACCCTAACTCTCACCACCAACAACGCGCCGCTAATGGAAAAAGATGGGATCGTACTCTGATCTTGGTGGGAATGGAAGTCAAGAATCATCCTTGGCCTTCTTGGGTTGAAAAATTGGGGGTTTTGATGGAGAGATGTGGAGGAAAAAATTGGCGATCTGAGGAAGAAGACGACTGTCGCGGCGTGAGGGGCGTGCAGAGCACGCGATTTGCAGTTACCGGCGCGTGTTGAAGGCATGAAATTATGTCGTCGCCGCCACTGCTGCAAATCGATTTATTGATGACGATTTGGTAAACCCGTGGTCGCCACCTGCAAATCAAGACCACGGGTTAATATAAGCTTTCAAATCTAGCATAAGATCTTATGGTATAAGATCTATAGCGGAAGGTGATCAAGGGTCATTAAGTTCAGCACACGAAAGGCAACATCTACTAAGGCGAACATTTTCTCATGTCATTGAAGAGGATTTCATAGGCTTGGAGAATGATGTGAAGAAATTGGTGGAACATCTGTTGAATGAAGACAAAGATAGTGACAATTGGCATCAAACTGTTTGTATCTGTGGCATGGGTGGTTTGGGCAAGACCACTCTTGCTCAAAAAGTGTATAATCACAAAGATGTTAAGCGTCACTTTGATGGTCTTGCTTGGCTTGTATATCTCAGCAAATCCATATTATTTATAGTTTAACAATACACAAATACACAAACCCAAAATCCCTGCTTTTGCAAATCCATCTTTGCGGGCGACCACAAACGCAAAATCCCTGCTTGGTGATGGGTTAGTGGCCAAACCGTAACTTTAATAATACACAAATTTTTTTACATTTTTTCATTAAACAAATAATTTTACTCTAAGGATAAAAATATAAATTCATATCAATTCACTAACCACAAACAATTAATTTGGGCCTTTCTATTATATTATGGCCATTTTTTATTACAAGTTGAAAATTTGGGGGATCCTTTGCGTAATTTGCCTTTATTTAATTGTGTGCTTTTTTGTTATTTTAATTTTAAGTTGTATTAGTTAGGTTATGAAGATTGAACTTAAGTTTTGGGCCTTGGACTATAGGAGAAGGTCTTGATGGATTTAAGCCTAGTTGGCTAATTAAGTCTAAGGGCCCATAGGATTATTAATATATATATTTATATATAATTATATATGTGTGTGTATAGATATATATATTTATATGTTTATGGAATTATATATATATATATATATATATATATATATATATATATTTGTATGTTACGTGTAAGTATATATATTTATATAGTCTGACTTAGGTTAGGATTAGGGTTGGGGCTTGTATTAGTTCATGGGAGTGTATATATATGTGTATTAATTGTAGTTATAGAGCGGTTTTCACATCAGAAAGCTAAAGAAAGAGTGACCGAGAGAGAGAAGAAGAAGAAGAAGAAGCCGAGAGGCCAGAGTTGGAGAAGAAGATTGAAAAGCTTGCGGTTTGATTTTCGATCCGAAAATCGTAAGGCAAATTCTATGTTCTACTCTTGCCCTTAGTTCCTTCATTCTATGCATCTCTAATTTAGCTTTAGGGTGTAAAAACAAATAATCTAAACCTGTTTTAATGATGGAATTCAAACTATAATTGATCTATATATGCGTGTGTGTGTGTGTGTGTGTGTGTGTGTGTGTGTGTGTGTGTGTATATATAATATTAGATCTTGTTTTTTAATGTGTTAAATTTCGATTTTGATTGCTTAGAATATGTAATTATGATGTATATAAATGATGGAAAATGATTTAGGACTTAGATGCATGATTTACGACCAAAATGATGGATTTTCAAACCTGTTACAAACCCGACGAACTGCTGTCACGACTTTGTGCTCGAGCATAGCATTGTTCCGAGCACCAGTGCTCGAGGACTAGGGTTTGTGCTCGAGCACATGAGGTTTGTGCTTGAGCTCTTGGGACCTATTTTTCTCAAATTGACTCTGAATGACCCCGAATTGATTCTATTAAACCCCGACCATGTTCTAAAGTCTCGAAAAGAGTATTATGCGATTTAATTGCGTAAAAACTTAGTTACACTTTTATGATCCAAGATTTGATAGAAAAGGTCAGATTAACTAATTAATTATAAATTGATCTTTTGTGACACTTATATTGTGTAATTAAATGTGTTAATATGGTATATGATTTTAATCATATGAGTTGAAGTAATTATTATTTGCAAACAAGTTACATGGTGGTAATTAGCTGACTTACCATTGTAAAATATAAATGAACGATATTACGAGTTTATCATGATTTTATTGTATTTATGTAATACCCCTAATTTTAAAAAGATAGTCTTGGTATTTATGTATTTGTTTTCATTATAATTTTAATTGTTTAATTGATTATTTGTTAATTGTTTATGTGTTTAATTGAATTAAGTGTTATTTGATTATTTGAATTATGTGTCTATGTGTTATTTGTAATTGACTATGTGTTAGTTGTTTAATTAGATTACGTGCTTAAATGGTGTTTTGATTAATTGTAATTAATTGTAAATTAAATGATTAAATATTTTATTTTATTTTATGCTTATGGTTAGTAGTAGTGGGCCAACCAATTGGGTCCCATGGACTACTTGGATAGGAGATTGGATGGGTATGGATAATTACTCATGGATAGTTGTGTATGTATATATATAGATATATATTATATACATATATAAAAGGGAAAGTAATTTATTAATTACTTTCATGGTAACTTGGGTATTAATATTTAGTCTGATGTATATTTTTATATATTTATATAATAAGGATATACATAGATTTTATACGTATCATGTTTTAAGTTACTTTATAATATTATGGTAACTTAAGTATTATTAGATAATCTATGTTAATAAATAGTGGAATGTATATAACTTATTTATTTAATAAGGATATACATAAATTATATACGTAACATATTGTACGTTACTTTTTTAATATTTTAATTTTTTATTTTCTTTTTTAAGTTGACTTGGAATGGAATTAGGATTAAGGTTTATTTTATTTAGCCTATATATACATAAGTATAAGTCTGTAGGAGGCTTCAAAATTATGTCATGTAATGTATTCTAGAGAGAGAGAGTTAGAGAGAGAAGGAGGAAGAGAAAGAAATGAGGAGAAAATCCTTTAAAGAAAAAGATCAAAGAAGAAGAAGTTTAACTTTCAATCTGAAAGTTTAAGACAAGTTCTTCTTCTATCTCTTTCCCATTGATTCGTGTTTCTGTACATGCCTAGGAAATTCCAAGATTTCTTAAACACATAAAATTAAATAATTATGCATATTTTAAGAGACGCAACACGAAAGTCCTATAACGAAAGACACTCCTAAGGACACTTAAACTTGGAATGCTCTGATACCAACTGTGATACCCTCGAATTTCCAGATGCGGGTTAGCCAGGTCCACGCCCGAATACCCGAGAATATCAAAAACAAATCGGCAATAATCGAACACAGAATACAAAATAGATAATAAGAATAAATAAAATTGCTAAAAGAAAACTAAATCGATAATTCATTAATAAAATCCTCAGAATAAATTTTTATAAATAAGAAAGTATTTGATACATCCAATCCTCCATTACTAATACAACTCGAAAATCCATTCTATGTGGACCCCTAGAAAAACCCAACTGATTAAGTGATTATATTAAAACATTGAAATATAAAGAAAACTTCTAAGTAAACATAATCTGGAAGAGTGAAGTAGATGATCCCTGCTCATCACGAA